ACACACACATCTGCATGATTTGATTTATATTAAGTCCAAAAATAGATTAAACTAATCTATGGAGTTAGAAGTCAGGCTAACTTTTAAGGAGGCAGGACACTAACTAGAAGGAAGTAAAAGAAGGCCCCTGTTGCTATGTTCTAATTCTTGTTGCTAACGCCCTGTTTCTTGATCTGGGTATTAGCTATAAAAGTGAGAAGTATAAAAATCCACCCAGCTGTGCCTTTGATATGTGTACATTTCTCTATATTTATTATCCTTCATTAAAACTATATATATTAAATATATATTCAATAAAAAATAAACTACAGGCAATGTAAGGAGGGATGGAAACTCTGGAAACTGTAGGAAAGAATCAAGAGGAAATGTTGGGAATCAAAAATAGTGCAACAAAAATGAAGAGTGCTTTAATATATACAGTATAACCCAAAGGTCAAAAAAAAAGAAAAAAACAAACAAACTTTTATCAGGTGGTGGGCAGATGGGAGGAGGAGGAGGGAAAGAATTTATACTTACAAAATAGGTGCGATGCGCACCACCTGGGGGTAGGACACGCTTGATATTTTGGTAAGGCAGGGGGTGGAGGAAGGAATGGCAGGGGCAATATATGTAACCCTAACAATATTTGTACCCCCATAATATGATAAAATAAAATAAAAATTATAAAAAAATGAAGAGTGCTTTTGATGAGCTCAGCAATGGACTGGATATGGCCAAGGAAAGAATTGGTGGCACTGAAGAAATAGAAACTTTCAAAACTGAAATACAAAGAGAAAAAAGAATGAAAAGAAAGAATAGCCAAGAACTGTGAGACAATTTAAAAAGGTACAACATACACATAATGAAAATACCAGAAGGAGAGTAAAGATAAAAAGGAGCAGAAGAAATATTTGAAGCAACAGTGACTGAGAATTTCCCCAAATCAATGACAGACACTCAACCACAGATCCAGGAAGCTCAGAGAATACAAAGCAGGATGGGCCAGAAGTTCTACATCTAGGCATACCATATTCAAAGTACACAAAAAAAAACTTTAATGAAGTCAGAAGAAAAATAATACCTATAAAGGAATAACGATAAGAATTATATCAGACTTCTCTTCAGAAACCAGGCCAGCAAGAAGAGAGTGGAATGAAATATTTAAAATGTTAAAAGAAAACAATCAACTGTGATGGTTAATTTTATGTGTCAACTTGACTGGGCGAAGCCATGCCTAGATAGTTGATACAACATTATTTCTGGTATTTGTGAGTGGGTTTCCAGAAGAGATTAGCATTTTAATCAGCAGACTGAGTAAGGAAGATCTGCTCTCACCAGTGTGGGTAGGCATCATCCAAACCATCGAAGGCCTGAATAGAACAAAAAAGTGGAAGGAAGATGAATTCATTCTCTCTCTTCTCGAGCTGGGATGTCCCTTTTCTCCTGTTCTTGAACACTGAAGCTCCTGGTTCTCAGGCCTTCAGACTCCAGGACTTATACTAGGTGTCTTCCCCCATACTTCCCCCAGATTTTCAGGCCTTTGGATTTGGAATAAATCCCACCATTGGCCTTCATGGTTCTCCAGCTGGTAGATGGCAGATGGTAAGATTTACTGGCCTCCATAATATAAGCCAATTCCTATAATAAATCTGTTATCTGTCTAGCCAGCCTATTGGTTCTGTTTCTCTGAAGAACTAATACACAAACCTAGATTTTTGTATCCAGCAAAATTATCCTTTAAAAGTGAAAAAGGAAAAAATAAAAAAGAAAATAAAAATAAAAATAAGGAAAATAAAAATAAAAAAGGAAAAAATAAAGCCTGTCTCAGTGGAATAAGAACTGAGGGAATTTGTTGACCTGCCGTGCAAGAAACGTTAAAAGTTCTTCAGAATGAGGCCGGGCGCGGTGGCTCACACCTGTAATCCTAGCACTTTGGGAGGCCGAGGCGGGCGGATCGCTCAAAGGTTAGGAGTTCGAAACCAGCCTGAGCGAGACCCCGTCTCTACCAAAAATAGAAAGAAATTAATTGACCAACTAAAAATATATATACAAAAAATTAGCCAGGCATGGTGGCGCATGCCTGTAGTCCCAGCTACTTGGGAGGCTGAGGCAGTAGGATTGCTGAGCCCAGGAGATTGAGGTTGCTGTGAGCCAGGCTGACGCCACGGCACTCACTCTAGCCTGGGCAACAAAGTGAGACTCTGTCTCAAAAAAAAAAGTTCTTCAGAATGAAGGAAAATGATACAAGTCAGAAACCTGGATCTACATTAAGGAAGGAAGAGTATTAGGGAAGAAATAAATAAGGATAAAAATAAAACTTTCATTTCCTATTTTTCATTAATCTAACAGGTAACAGCTCATTAAAAATAATAATAGCAACATTATAATCAGTGATTGTAGCTTATGGATAGATAAAATGAGTGACAACAATGTCACAAGTGATAGGGAGGAAATGGGAATACTTTGTTATAAGGTACTTGCATTGCCTGGGTAGTGGAACAGTGTCATTAAATGTAGACTTGGATTAGTTGTAAATGTATATTACAAATGCAAACAGCTAAAAAAAAAAGTATAACTGATATGCTCAGAGAGGAGCAAAAAATTGAAATTGTATCAAATAAAACAAAAGAAAGCAGAAAAGCACAATCCATAAAAGAAAAAACCATAAGTTGAACTTAATTCAAAACTCCTGCTCTGCAAAAAACCCTGTGAAGAGAATGAAAAGATAAATCACAGACTGGGGGAAAATCTTTGCAAAATACCAAATAGATAAAGGACTGCTATCTAAAGTATACAAAGAGCTCTTAAAACTCAACAATAAGAAAAAACATAACCCAATTAAAAAGTGGGCAAAAGATCTGAACAGACACCTCACCAAAGAAGATACACACATGGCAAATCAGCATATGAAAAGATGCTCGACATCATATGTCATTAGAGAATTACAAATTAATACAATGAGATGTCACTACACACCTATTAGAATGGCCAAAATTCAAAACACTGACACCAAATGTTTGCAAGGATGTGGAGCAACAGAAGCCCTTACTCATTGCTGGTAGGAATGCAAAATGATAGGCTACTTTGGAAGACAGTTTGGCCAACTCTTACAAAACTAAATATATTTTACCATATGATCCAGCAATAGCATTCCTTGGTATATACTCAAATCAGTTGAAAACTTAGGTCCACACAAAAATCCTGCACACAAATGTTTACAGCAGCTTTACTCATAACTACCAAAACTTGGAAGCAACTAACATCTCCTCGAATAGGTGAATGGATAAACAAACTATGGTATATTCATAAAATGGAATGTGATCCAGAGATAAAAAGAAATGGGCTATAATGCCACACAAACACATGGAGGAAACTTAAATGCACCTTGCTAAGCAAAAGAAGCCAATCTGAAAAGGCAACACACTGTATGATTCCAACTATATGACATTCTGGAAAAGGCCAAACTTGGACACAATAAAAACATTAGTGGTTGCCAGGGGTTCAGGGTGTTGAGGGAGGGAAGGATGAATAAGCACAGGAGATTTTTATGGCACTGAAACTATTATTCTGCATAATACTGTAATGGCAGATACATTGTCAAGACCCATAGAACATAGAAAACAAAGAGTGATCCCTAAAATAAACTATAGACTTTAGTTATTAATAATGTATAAATATTAACTCATCTATTATAACAAATGTACCACACTAATACAAGATGTTAAAAATAGAGGAAATTTGGGGGGTGAGGTGTAAAGGGATATATGGGGAACTCTTGTATTTTTTGCTCAATTTTTTCCTGTAAATCTAAAACTGCTCTTCCCCAAATAAAATCTATTAATTAAAAAAGAAAAAATATATTAATAGTTTTCTTACATCAATATAGCTAGTTGACAAGTTTCTCTGAGATAATGTAAATAATAAGGAAGAAAAATATATATAGGAAGGCTTTAGGTTAAATTACATGTGAACTTTTGATTATCATTGTTTTAAGAAAGTTTAACATGACACTATAGAAAATTTTCATACTAAAATGTTGGTTAAAAGCATGGCACTAAAGTGTGTGGTTAGAGTTAACTTTGCGGGTAATAAAGATTTATTTATGTACAGTTGCAATCCACAATCTGAGAAACAGATGAGCCCACAGTTCTATGATGAATTAAAAGTGAAATACTGGCCATTACTTCTTTGATTACTCTTCTGGTCTTTGCTTTTTTGAGATGCTTTTATTTTATTTCACTTGATTTTACATTTCCCATTTATTCAGTCACTTGGGTAGGCAAAAGACAATAAGAATAAACCTAATTTTAATGTGACAAAGTATTACCACCATCGTTTTTCTACCTTATACAGCTCTAAAACGACAAAGGTGAAATGTCTCATTGTGGCAAGCCAGTCATGTGGAATGAGTAGCTTCACCAAAGCAGGCCACATTTTCATAGCTGAGCAAATAATTTAAATTGTACAAAGGTAAATGGTGAGTGCTAAAGTTGAAAGAGAGACTTTATTTTTGGCAAAACAAGTAGAAAATGATCACAGAGAAAACTGTGTGTGGGAACACCATGGAACGTACATTTATATTTTCCAGAAAGTCCAACTAGCAGTTCTTAGAACTGAAAGACACATTAAGAACGATGCTAACATACTTTGTATGGACACGGACCTTATCTTATTGTCATGTTTGCAGGGTATAACCTATAACAGGGATCATACACCTTTTCTGAATGAATGAATTATATTTTTCCCCTAAGAAGGAAAAATGACCTACAATTTAAAAGATACTTTATCCCAATTTAGCAGTGTTCCAAATTTGATTCCACAAATTCCTTCCTTCTAAAGTTTTGAACTCAAGGCATACTTGCATAGGAATGAGGTGAGGCTGGATTAAAAAACATTCTACTAAGTTCAAGTAATTGTTGCTTGATTTTTAGAAGTTGCCAAAATTTCATGTAAGAAAGGATTAGCTAAATGGATGTGTTTCCTCCCTATGTTTAGTACAACTTAGAAAATGGACCTTTTACCTTATGAAATCTTCTTCGTCTTCTCTCTTCGGCCTCAGCTGTTTGGGTTGAGCCATGTTAACCCAGTTGGGTAGAGATTTCAAGAGTCTGCTGATATCATCATCTTTTGCCCAAGAAGCACTGATGACAAATTTTTCTTCTGACTGGACAATGCCCCTAAACACAGCCAATAGAAAAGAGACACTTCAGCACAATGCCTGGTATTCAGTTGGCATTTTCATCTACTTTTGTTGCAGAAAAAAAGATATCATACCCATCTCTCTTATGAACACAATCCACTATCTGACCTGGAGGCAGTGACAATCATTGATAGGTCACATTACTAGGAAACAGCATTTCTAGATTTCACTCTTAGTTTCTTAATTGTTGAGTAAGTATGAAAGTTGATAGTAGTAATTAGCTCCCCTTGTCATAGTTAATCCCTTAGGAGAAATAAAAGTGTATGGTAGGTTTTGGGGCGGGGCTTTCAAGGAAAGGTTGAATAAATAAAAAGTGGGGTGATAATATAAAGGAATGCTATTAAATGACAACATAAATGGTACCTGAAAAGGTGACGGAAGTGTTACAAAAGGTTGTTCTCTGAGTTCTTGGTTTAAACTTCAATTAGTTCTACTTGAAGGTATTTTCTGAACTGTGGACACCTTTCTATTCAAAGCCAATCCACCATCATAAAGAAATCCTCTGCCCTGGATTTCAGGCAGAAAAATCCTTTGATTACTGCTATCTCCATGGCTTTGACTAGTGACCTAGAGTTGACAGCCTTCAAATCCTTTAATAGAGCCCATGGATTAGCTATTAACACTGTTCTTACCAAAATGTACCTGTAAATTCATCTTAAACGTTCAATTTCAACTTAAAAAGCTTCTCTTTCTGTTCAACATGTCTGTCGCCGTAACTAATTTCAGTGATCTAAAAATCCTCATTAGCAATACTAGGTGACAGAAACATTTATTTATGAAGGGAGTACTAATTAGCTGACTACCCCTCTGAAGATGACCAAGACTCCAGGAAGTTTCCCCCATCATAGGCGGGAACCTCTCTTGGTGTAAGGGTCATACTGGGGACATTATATACTTCCAAATAAACAACATATACTGCATGTGTGTATGTATGATAAAACCTCCTTGATCTACCAGACAAGTAACACTTGTAGACCAAAAAAAAAAAGAAAAAAAAGTTGAAGCCTACAAACCTTGATTTATGACTGTTGGACTTAAAGTAACATAATTTCACGATGTAGGGAGCAGTACTGGCCTAGTTCTCTTAAAATAAACTGGAATAAACAAGAGAATTCTAGGTGATTTCTAGAATTCTTCTAACTCACTATAAGCAAACATTTTCTAATAGTAACTGTGGTCAGAGATACAAAAATTAGAGTACAGAACTGTTTAACCTCCAATCTCTCAAATCACTGGTACCTTCTACTCCCTCTTTTATTATTTCCTTGCATCTTTTCTGCAATGTTTATAGATTAATTCACCAATCTAACTGGTTTCATCTCATATTTGCATATTGCTGGGTGCAATCTTTTAGAATGGCACCCCCCTCAGATTTATGATACTCAAGTGCAGGTGGACCCTCGATGTTCTCCTGGCATTCTTTATACCTGTCTCTGGTCACCTCCCTCTCCCCATTTCTCTTAGTGGCTGTTTTTCAAACCTTTGCCTTTTCTGTATTTCCTCATTGCTTATCCCCCACATCTTTCCCATCTGACAGAGAAAGGAGGGGAACTGATTATGTACTTTCATACAGTCTACACCCACCCCCAACAGAAATATGTTCAAATCTATACCATCCTCATTTATTTTCCAGTAATCTCTCTACTTAGGCTCTTGGGGATCCCTTCTCCCCCAGTTATCTCCTCTTTTCCCCATATTTTTAGTATCTTTTTCTGCATTATATTCCTCAACTCTTACTTTCTAAGAAGATGAATGAATGAATGAATGAATGAATGAATGAATGAATGAATCTCTTTCTTGATCCAGCATTCCTCTCTAACAAGCTCCTCTGTCTCCTTCAAAGGCACTCATCAAATAAGCAGCCTGCACTACTGTACTTCCTCACCTCTCATTCAATTATTCCATTCATGAAATCTCTTGGCATGGGTCTATGCTATGATCTAACCCATCTACTGCTTTTTGGAAAATGTTCAATTATTATATTTTTCATTTCTAGATTTTTCTATTTGTCTCTTTTACAAATCCAGTGGCTTTTCCCCTCTGAAATGTCCTGTTCTTGTATCATGGATTATATTCCTTCCTTTATCTCTTTGAATATTTTAGAAAACAATGATTCTAAAGTTTCTTTTATGTGCTATATTCTTTAGTAGTTCTCTGGATACCAAGTGTCTTGCTTCTTGCATTTGCCTTCTTTTCTAATGGTGGTGCATTTTCTCATGTGGTCTGCTATTTTGGTCTGGAAGCTCTACTTCAGGGGGACTTGTCCTGAGTTTTTGAGATGTCACTATTAGGTGGTTTGCATTGACCTCTTCTGGGTCCTATGGGTTTCAATGATTCCAAATAAGTTTTTAATTTTTTTTTTTTTTTTTTTTTACTTAAAGCTTCCTTTCCTTACACAGGTAGTACAAATTGGGGTGCTCACTTGAACATATTATGCTACAAATGTAGCTGTAACATACATTTTACATTTATAAAGGAGCCAAATAGAAAATCTAGAAATGAAAAATATAATAATTGAACATTTTCTAAAAAACAGTAGATGGATTAAATCATGTGTGGGATTCCAATTTCTTCTAGGGGCTGTTTTCCTACTCCAGATTCGGTGGCTTTAAATGTCATGGTCCACATGATTCTGCATTTCTCACTTAGATAATCCCTTCTTCTTGCCAGACTTGACCCACCTATATTCTTATGACTCCCAAATTATTATCTCCAGGGGGGCCCTCTCTTCTAAGTCTCGGACCTGCATATCCGAAGATTTACTAGAGAACTTTCCTTGAAAGTCCCAACAGCATTTCAAGTTAAAATGAGTCAAAAGAAACTCATTTATTATCCACCTCTCTCTGTCCCACTAAACATCTAGTATTCCCTATTCAAGCCATCTAATTATTCAAATCAGGAACACAGTCATCCTAATCACCCACAGTCACCACATCCTGCCAATTCTGCCTCCTTAATATCTTACGGTTCTGTCATTTCCTATCCAGGTTCATTGCTATTAATCTATATTTAAAGCCACATCATTTTTCACTTGGACTTGGCAATAACCTTGTAACTGAGCTTCTTCCCTGCAGCTACAAGACCATCAGTCCAACTTCCCACACCAGTCAGAAGACTCATTTTTCTAAACTACAAATACAATCATGTTATTTCCCTTCTCAGAACTCTTCAGTGACTCTGAATTCCATATAAGACCAAGACCAGACTTAGCAAGGCATGAACATCTATCTTTGCAGCTTCATCTCCTGCTATTACTTTCCTCCTTTGTCTCTGTTCACTGCTGCGAACCCATGTTGGCTTAACACTCTATCCATAATAAGTATTTTAAAGATTTTTAAATGGGATATGTTGTTTTCTGCTTCTGTGTTATCTGCCTAGAAAGTTTTTTCTTATCTTCCTTGTTTGCTTCTACTTAGTGCCCTGGCTCCTTCCCCTGGCACAACTGAGTCTTCTCTTTTGTGCCTCCTCACCCTTATATCAGAGGGTTTACAACCTTGACTGTACAGTAGAATCACTTGTGGGAGCCAGGGAAAAACCAAGATGCCCAGGCCATACCCAAGACCAAGTAAATCAGAATCTCTGTAGGGTGGGACCCAGGCAACAGAATTTTTAAAATTTCCCCATGTCATTCAAATGTGCACTCAAGGGTAACAACCTCTGCCTTTGCCATCCTCTACTGCTCTCACTGGTCCTATTCCACAGTTTTCCAAGTTGGGACCCCATACTGCACGGTGAGTCCTATCAGGGTAGAGTTGATTTCTTATGCTCCCAGTGCCTAGAACAATGCCTGGTGTTTGTACGGTATATAAAAACTGAACTGGAGATAAAAATAAGCTCTCTTCAGTCACAGGAGTCTGGATAACTTATTAAACTAAAATCATTTTAGTGGTTTCCCTTTTCTTCTCTATACTAAACAACCTCCATGAGCTATCAAGCCTTTTGGCATTTAACCAAATCACAGATCAGTCTGTGCTATGCCCTTCACTGTGTCTCTCTGGATTGAACACAAATCAGAATAATGAATACAGGTGTGTCCTCCTCTGAACAAATCCAACATAAAAAAGTCCTGACTCATAAAACAAATGAGTAAGAGATTACTGACAAGCCTTTCCCTTCCACTCTACTTATTCTTAGGTGGCCTATTATTGCAAAGTCTCCTAAAAAACTCATTTTCTCTATGAAGAATTTGTTGACTACTTCAGCCTACAATGACCTTTCCCTTTGGAAAGGAAACAAACACAGCTCCTCCTTTTAAACCAATCATCTGTAACATCAGGAGTAGTACTTTGTCTTACAAGGTGGGGTGGGCAAGCCACGGCTTGCTGGCCAAATTTGCCCAGCAGCTGTTTTTGTATGTCCTGTAAGCTAACAACAGTATTGACATGGTTTTTAAAAATTAAAATAATAAATATTTTGTGACATTATATAAAGTTTAAATTTCAGTGTCCATATCTAGAAAAAATTTTGGCTGGGTAGACACACACTACAGGTTAAATTCTGCTCCACGGTGTTAGAAGCCCAAACTCAACTCATTTTTCTAGCATCTAAATCTCTGCGCCCATCCATGTTGGCCCACATCTGCCCTAGGGCTCAGGAAACAGTTTAGGTCTATAGTTGTGACATGGTATTATATATTTTGGGGGCTAGAATTTTCCATTTTAGCACTAGTTGGAATAAAGAAATTAGCTTATGTAGGACACTACATTAAAGGTACCCACATTATTTACTTACATTTTTTTTAAAGACTGGATTAATTCAATGATTCAATATCATATTACTACCTAATATTCACAGATCCCATTTTATTAAAGAACAGTAATCCAAATTAACGGAAGTGCTACTACATATTTCCCTCAACAATAAATATCTTAATTCATATTGGAATGAACATCAATCCCAAAAGCAATTCCAAATATTCTAATTTGAAATACCAGCATTGATTAGCAACATGCGATTACCCTAAAGGGAATTTTCATT